ATGAGGCTAAACAGTGTATTAGCTACCGCTGAAAGGAACTAACCCGCGAGCGGAAGCCAAAACACGAGCTCACAACACAGCACGAACAGGGAGGCGGAGGCGCGGAGGCCCTGGTGCGGGCCGGGCCTCGGTGAGCGAGCGCCCCGCTGGCCCGAGGGGTCCCCGCCAAGCGCGCACGGAGAAACAGAGCGACCGGGGCCGGGCCGCAGCGGCGGGCGGAAAGGCGGGGCCGGGAGCAGGCGGGAGGGCGTGCGATTCCCTGCCAGACGAGGCCGAGCAGAGCTCTCGCAAGGGGCGAGCGGCCGCGAAGGCACCCGGGGGGTCGGCGGGTGTCGAGGGGCCACACTGGCTCCCTCCCGGGGGACGGGGTGGGGCTAAGCGCTGGGAACCCGGGACCAGGGCGCTTGGGTTTTCCTACTTTTCTCCAACCACGTTTTCACCGGTGGCTGGATGTGCAGGCTCCAGACTGATCGATTCCAAGCCCCAGCGAGGGAAGCAAAAAGGTATGAAGGCGCCTAGAAGCTATCCGGCGTACTTCAGAGACATGGGAAACGCAAGGGAACCCAACGCCGGGTTTTTGTGGTTCTCCGCTACTTCCGAAACCAGGATCTCCGGAGCTGTCCTATCGGGAGCACGCAGCAAGCTCGCAGGAGCGCGGGGTCCGGGAGCGCAGGGCGGCGACTGAGTCCAGGGCTCAGCGAGGGTCCACGCAGCGCATGCTGCCGAGGCCCAGTGGTTTTTCCTGTTGGACCTGTGTCATTTGTATTTTCTGTCCGCTGTGAGGCGGGCCTTCCCACACCCGGCTTGACGCGCGGTGCCGAGGACCCGGTCAGGAGTAACCAGAGCGAGGACTGCGGGCGGCAGCGTAGACGCTGCTCAGAACCGGGCGGTGCGCGTGACGAGGTGGCCGAGTGGTTACGGCGATGGACTGCTAATCCATTGTGCTCTGCAGGCGTGGGTTCGAATCCCACTCTCGTCGTCGTCAGAATTTCTTCACCCCTCTGGGCGGTGGGCTGGCAGGCAGACTCCTTCCCTGCCAGGCTGGGGCCTCCTTTTCCTCAGGAGGGAGCCTCTGGAGGGCGGGAGTCATTACCCAGGGGCGTTTATATGTTCCTCTTGCCGAACCGCCCCTGGCTCCTAGTCTTCTCCCTTACAGTATTGGAAAGAAGTGGCGAGAGTGGACGTCCTCGTTTTGCTCTGGGTTTAGTGGGAAGCTTTTACATTTCCACCGCGGGTAAAATGTTAGCTGGGGTCTGTTCCATAGACCCTCATTGTGTGGAGCCGCGCTCCTGTCGCACTCAGGCTAAGGAGGATTTTAACACCTGAGAGGGCCTTGAATGTTGTCAGACGTTTCTTCTGCAGCTATTGAGATGGTTGCCTGCTTTTTATCCTTCCTTTTATTAACATGTCGTGTTCTATTTATTGATTTAGATAGATTTTAAAGTCTGGTTTCATTTCCTCAGGAAATGTCTACCATTAGTTTCCTGGGCCTCTGATCTAGACATGTCTTCTCTAGGCAGCTGATCATATCCTCCAGTCCTAAGTTGGACCTCTTCTTCGAGGACAGTTTCAAAGAAGCATTGTATGGAATGGGGTTAAACAGGCAAGGAAAGTTTTATTCAAGACTACTGCAACAAGGAAGAGAGGCTGGACTCAAACCCAAGGCAACAGGAGCAGCTGGGAGTTTATAGCTAATGGGTAGGGTGAGGAGTCCTTGGATGGAGAATTATTAAGGCATCGAGGATATCAGAGTGGAGGATTCAGATTCTTGCTAAAACAGGGCTGGATGGACCAAGGGTGAGAACTAGTCAGGAAGAGGGATCAGAAGCCTGGGGAATTTTGGTCAAGGATGGAGCCCTTGTACCCCACACCCCAGGAACCCTGACTTCCCAAGGGTTAGGGTTCCCGGAGATGCAGCTCGGGCATCCCCAGACCACGGTACACCCCCACCCCCCGGCAGCTGGCCCTTGGTAGGGCTAGGTCACCACATACAGTCAGGCTTTTCTGTAACCTAAATTGGGAGGTTTGTCTAAAGTCCGAGTTTTTGGCTCTGAGCGAGGACAAGTGCACGTCTGACAATGGATGGGATCACAGTGCTCACACCATTAAACTCGCCTTTACCTTTGAGAATGGGACTTGCCCTCTGTTACTGTCATTTCATAAAACTCCAGGAAGATGGCCAGGACTCTGGGATGCATGTGAGAAACTGACCACAGGCTGACTGAGGTAGCGGCTGGAGGAAGACTGGGTTACAACCTCTCCACACAGGTAAGGGAGGGTTCCAGCTGCTTGGGAAGGGGGAGTACTGTGGGTGAGAACTCATCACAGGAGCAGCAGGAGAGTGGAAAGAAGGCAGGACCATGGTGCTGAGTCAGCATGGCCAAGAAAGGCTTTCCCTGTGCCATTAAATTAGGACCATCAGGACCACACATGCGAAATATCATCAAGAGGCCCTTGTGGAAATCAAAAGGCTGTTTTCATAAGCTTGGTAAACCTCACTTGGTGCAGCTCTGTGCAACCAGAGGTAATTCATAACATGAGCTAATGAAATATTTATGGTTTAATGGGTTTTGACTCGGTGAGAGTAGAACTCAATTAGAAGGAAATCTGAAAGGTGTTCACTAGGTTCACAAAACAGGGGTACTTCCTTGTTCCTCATTTTGTTCCTTTCCTGCTGGGGGAAACCCCCTCTAATTTAGCCAAGGTGGGACACACTCCCTGCCATGATCTAGCCCTTTGGACTCCGAGTCACCACTGTGTAGAGGAAAGAGCTTTGTCAGGTGCTCTAAAAGATTCTCTTCTAAGAGGTCCCACCGAGATTTGAACTCGGATCACTGGATTCAAAGTCCAGAGTGCTAACCATTACACCATGGGACCAATGGTATAAAAGGAATGGAGATGCATAACTGTGCTGAGATAGAAACTAGACAACATTTCCCCCAGATCCAGTAGGGAGCTTGGTCAGGCCTCGGGTGGCTGCAGAGCCCAAGATTGTAGTACATAACTCTGAGCCACCGCAGCTCATCTCTGGGACCCCAGATTCAGGTTTTGCAGACTGAAGCTTATGCAATTTAGCAGCCTTGTTAAAGCAAAGGAATAGATGTTCTGAACACTCCAAGGCCTGTCTGATGTATGTGGAGGTAACTGGAAGACAGGCAGCTGTCTCAACTAATTTCCAATGTATAAACAATATTCTCAATATACATATAAATTTTGCAAATTCTACAAATACTTTTTATAAAGAACAACCCCATCCAAGGGTGTGCAAAGAGCCATACAAGTGAGGATATTGACACAGCAAGATTCATGATAAATACTACTCTGGGTATACTTTGGTAATATGATCTCTACCTCAGCGGTTTTTCTAAAAAACATGAATAAATATATATAGAAATGAAAAAATAATATCTAAGAATACTCATTTTAATATTTTGCAATATCAGAAGTTTAGAAATGTGCCAGTGTACTTAATGGAAGTACTCTACAGCCACAAAAAAGAAAGGGATAGACCTATGTGCTCACATGCTGACTCGGCAGTTTCTGGGAAGGATTGAAGTTTGAAACAAAACTTAAGTCATCTACTGAACAGTAAGGCATAGTATTATACTTTTGTAAATCATAACTTGTGAGCTGATATTCATTTTTAAACAGAGTGGACGAATAGACACCAAACAGCATAAATTTTTCTAAGAAGTTAGGAATTACCTGTTGGTTTTGGGAAAGCACAAAAGGTAAGCGCTTGATAGTGGCTAGGCGAGTGGGAGGCTCCAATGCAGTGTTTTGACGATCTAAACTTTGTCACATAATAAAAAGATTAATGTTCAATTTCACTGGGGGTAGCAACTCACTGAAGGTCAGTCAAAACCCCTGGGTAAGAAATGCTTGTTTACACATTTCTGAGAGAAGTGTTCTGATGGTTTAAAGCTTCTTAGAAAAATTAAAATGTGAGTAATACATATAGAGACCGAAAAAGGACAGAATGGGGAAGGGACTCTCAAAACTATGCCCCGGGCATGTTAATTTAAAAGGGATTTATTAGTACAAGTTTGCAGTAGATAATGGTAACGATCGTCGGCTCTTGAACAGCTAGAGCAGGCTGTCAAGGTCGCGGGCAGGACTCGGGCTGGGCGTGGGGTCCCTGGGCTCCCCGACCCGGGCAGCCTCTGCAGCGCCCCACGCACATGCACACCCCTAAACATGCCTCCACGCCTGCATGTCTGCACATTCTTACACATCGCACTTCCTGCACACCTTGCACCTGCACGCTTCCCGGGCCGCGCAGGACGCAGGCCCGACGCGGGATTCCCCCTAACTCGGCGCGGTGGTTCTCAGAGATCCCACCCGGCCAGATTTTGCGTTTCCTGCGGCCGTTTCCCCGCCAGGGTTCCGCGGGACGCGCAGCCGCGCACGGGGGCAAATCGCCAGGAAAGCCTGGTCTCTGGCTTCCTCCAGGGGCGCGAGATCCGGGGGGCACAGAAGGGCCAGGCTGCTCTTCCGCCTTGTCTCTGGGGTGGCGCATCGCGGTGGCAGAAAACCCAGAGCAGCACGTCCCCGACACCGCTCGCACCGTGACTTCTGTCGCTAGGACGGCGGATACCTGCGGACGCCGAGCGAGTTCTTTTCCCAGGCGCCTCCGCACGGGCCGCCACGACCACCCCTCGGGGGTGCCAGAGGGGAGCGGAAGTGCGCAGGCGGGGGTGGGGCCGGGCGGTGGCACTTCCGCTGGGCGTGGTCTGCCGCAGCTCCGGAGGACTTCGGTGGCTGAGGCCGGGGAGGGTGCGGGGAGGCGTGCAGCCCGCGGCGTGGGCGCCTTCCCGCCCGCCGGCTGGGGACCCGGTCTCCCGGCGGCCCCTCCCTGGCGTCCCTGCGCAGGCTGTACGCTCGGGCCCTGGTAGCTGGGGCCCGTGTCGCGCGAGTGTTCGGTCGCTCTGGAGGGACCGGCCTGCATTGTGACGCAAACGAGCCCGCCTCAGCGCATCTGCGGCGGTTCCGCGCCAGGCGTCTCCTTAGGTCGTGGCCAGAGGCGGAGACCAGAGCTCAGGGACCCTCCGCGAGAGCACGAGCGCACTGGCCTCCCGGGAAGGGATGGAGGCCGGCGGGGCTGCAGGACAGCCGGGGGACATCGTCCAGGTGACAGTGAAAGAGGAGGACCACGCTTGGGGCCCGGAGCCCTGCCGGCCGAGGGGCGTGTCTTGCCCTAGGGAGCTCTCGCGGCAGCGCTTCAGGCAGTTCTGCTACCGGGAGACCCCGGGGCCCCGGGAGGCGCTGCGCCGGCTCCGCGAGCTCTGCCGCCAGTGGCTGCGGCCGGAGACCCACAGCAAGGAGCAGATCCTGGAGCTGCTGGTGCTGGAGCAGTTCCTGGCCATCCTGCCTGAGGAGCTGCAGGCCTGGGTGCGCGAACAGCATCCAGAAAGTGGGGAGGAGGCAGTGACTGTGCTGGAGAACTTGGAGAGGGAGCTGGATGAGCCTAAGCAGCAGGTGAGAAGTGGCGATGCCACCTTCTGTAGAGAATTTGAGTAAAGGGGTCTAGAACGAGGTCCGAGGGATGGATTCACGTCACCCTGATCGCTGCAAAGTGTGGTTTTGGGTACTTATTTCTTATTTCATCGCAGTGTACCAACAGTTTTTGTGTGATAGCTGTTCCAAATGAGATTACTTAACCAAATGGGAAACCTTGCACTGTTGCTTATAGTAGAAATTTTATTTAATGATTGTAAGGTTCAGGAGCTATATTAGGTAAATGTATAAAATAATTACTGTTTTGTATATCTATCTCTTGTTACGATGCCCACTATTTTTACCATAAGTGAAAATAAATCAGCCTAAGAATATGAGAAACATCTTATAGGAGAGACAAACACAGAAGTAGCCTAGAGGTAGGCGTGGTGCCACATGCCTGTAGTCCAGCCGCTTGGAAGGCTGAGGCAGAGGGATCACAAGTTTGAGGCCAGCCTCAGCAATTTAGAGAAACCTTGTCTCAAAAAATAAAAAGGGCTGGGGTTGTGGCCCAGTGGTAGAGCGCTTGTCTAGCATATAGGGGACCCTGGGTTCCATTTCCAGTGCCGCAAAGAGAGAGTGAGGAGACAGACAGAAGGGGAGGAGGGAGAAATTTAGTGGAGACATCAGGAAAGATCTGGGTTGATTATATGATAGGCTGTATCACTAATTAGTACCTAGAATTGTTGATATGCGAAGCGTTATGAGTCAAGTATTCTATTCAGAAGAATTTTTAAAGTCTTTTACCATTATACTAGAGTCAACAGAGTATCTTTGCCTTCTGTGATGGTAATTTTAGAATACCATGGATATTGCTAGACACATTTCAGTCATGATACTATCCATGTATTTATTTGCTTCCTTTGAAGATGAACTTTTAGGTATGCAGTTTGATTTATTAATACACGTGTTTGTGGAATGAAGAATCTTTAAAATGAGATCAGTTTAAAGCTGAAATTTTCCTGGATTATACATTAGTGTCTTTGGCAAGTTGCTTTAGGTAACCAAGTAAGAGCAACTGAATTCAAAGTATCTGGTTGTAGATAAATATTCAAGCAAATCATAAAAACATATAACATCATACATCATGCCCATTCCCCCCCCCCACACACACCTCCTGTTTGGGTCTCTTGATCGCACACTGTTTTGGAAGTGGTTAATGGCAACCCCCCCATCTTTGTGCATTTTTTTGCTAAACTTTTTTGTATTCCAGAAAATGAGCAAGGTGAGGGGTCCACAGTGCCATGGAAGCATGTTGGTGGTAACATTACTGATAGTGTAAAAGAAGAAAAGCTTTGACAGTAGAAGAAAAGCTTTATTGTTTTGTTTTGTTTGGTACCGGGGATCGAGCTCGGGTCCTTGTGCTTTCGAGGCAGGCGGCAGAACCACTGAGCTAAATCCCTGGCCCCTGAAGAAAAGATTTAAATTGTAAAATGTTTGGAAAGAAATGAAAGAACCTGTGACACTGGTTGTACAACCAGCATGAAGAAGTTGTTGTGTACAATTAGAAGCAATGCTGGGAAAGTGAAAGAAAGTCATCTAACTGGAACAGCTGCCAGTGCTGCAAAATCCGTTAGAACAAGGCATACAGAAACAGAAGAAGTGGAACATTTACTAAGTGTGTGGGTTGTTGAATACCAGAGAAGATGCAATCTAGTGTGTCTTTTCTCAAAATTAAAGAGAAAGCCTTCGGACAGTAGTGGTGAATCTATGGCGTGAATGCTGCAGCAGACACACAGAGCCCTCTGTCAATTCCTGAGCCAAGTTGCCTTAGCATTGCTCCAGCAGCTGAGCATCAGGTAACTGCACATAGGGGCCATGTGCATTCTCCAAAAGGAGTAGTGGCCCCAGGCCATGATGTCATGAGCTGTGACTCATAAGTTGCAACTTGACTGGGCTTTCGTATGGGTGGTCAGTGCACTGCCAAGATATGTGTGTGTGTGTGTGTGTGTGTGTGTGTGTGTATTATATATATATATATATATATATATATATATATATTTTTTTTTTTTTTAAATATTTGCTTGGACTGGCAGTGAGTTGTTTTTTTTTGTTACCAGGGATTGAATTTGGGACCTTCCACTTGCAAGGCAGGCAGCGGAACCACTGAGCTAAATCCCTGTCGTGTCAGTGAGTTTTAATACTTTTTTTTTTGTTTTGGTACCGGGGATAGAACTCAGGACCTTGTGTTTGCAAGGCAGGCAACAGAGCCACTGAGCTAAATCCCCGGCCCAAAATACGTTTGTTTTTATTAACACAAGATTTTAGCTTTGAGTTTTCTTAGGAAAATTTGAAATTTAATATCTAAGAGTCAGCAAAGAGATGTTCTCATTAAAGACTGAGAATCTTTTAATGTTGTGCTGGCCCCTGATGTACTTGGATCTGCAGCATCGTATTGAGTTGTTTGTGAAGAATGTATGAAAACAAGAGCAACGTTATATATATTTGCTTGGATGGCTGTGAGTTTAGCAGAAGCCCCACAAGGTAGGAAACGCACTCAGATGCCTTTTCCAGGGCAGCGGAAAGCTGGTGCTCAGTGGAACACTGCCCCCTTGCGCTCGTGATCAGCAAGTTCAAGAGGAGCCGCCGCTGAGACTCACTGCTGTGGATTGATTGTTGATTTGGGGAATGTCCAATTCTTTAAGTGTTAACTAGTAGTGTTAGCTGTTTTTGGTATAGGAATAGATTTGTGTTGGGTGCTTCATTTTTTTTTTTAATTTTGTGTTTTTTTAGACTCCAAGTCTTGAACACCAAAAAATGACTACAGCAAAAAAAGCAAAACTGAAAACAGATAGTGGAAGATCATTCCAAGAGGCCTGGACAGAATCATTTGGAGTGATCGAATGCAATGGGAAAGCATTATGTATTTTGTGTAGTAAAAGTGTTGTGTGTCGCACATCGAGTGTCAGACGGCACTTTGATACCAACCACAAAAGTGTTGCCGAACTTGGTGAAACTGAAAGGAAAGAATTTCTGGAAGAGAAATTGAGGAAATACCGTTCTCATTATCTTAGTTTTTGCAACTATCTTTCTAAAACAAATCATCTGACAACTGCCAGCTTTCAGATTTCACTGAGCATAGTAAAGCATGGTAAGCCCCTTTCTGATGGGGATTTTATCAAAATGGCCATGTTGTCTGGGAGTAATTCCCTTTTTCATGATTTCCCAAACAAGGATGAAATTAAGCAACGCATCTCTGAGATGCCACTTAGCAGAAATACTGTTAAAGATCGAGTCCTGCGCATGGCAAGTGATGTTAGTCAGCAGCTCACCACTGACTTACAGAAGGCAGCCTGTTACTCCATGTGCTTGGATGAAAGTGCAGATATAAATAATCACGCAACCCTAGCAATAATTTTGCGTTATGCTGTTGGTGACATCATGAGAGAAGAGCTGGTGAAACTGGTGTCTTTGCGTGGAAGAACACAAGGGGTAGATATCTACAATGCTGTGATGGAGGCTTTTTTGTCACAAGACATAAGACCAGAAAAAGTAGTTTCAATTACTAGTGATGGGGAACCTTGCATGGTGGGGGCAACATCGGGTTTCATTCAGTTCTTTGTTAAAGAAGCAAAACATCCAGTCATTCAGTTTCATTGTATTATACATCAAGAAGCTCTTTGTGGGAAGGAAAGCAGCAAAAAATTAGATGATATCCTCAAAGATGTATCAAAAATGGTGAATTACATCATGATGCATGCTCTTAATTTTCAACAGTTTCAAGCACTTCTTGAGGTTCAGGCACAGTATAATGCTTTACTTGTGTACAGTAATGTCCGGTGGCTGAGCAGAGGACAAGTCCTGGAGAAATTTGTAGCCTGCTTGGATGAAATTAGGCTCTTTATGAATGCAAAAGGGCAGGAATATCCACAACTCACTGATACAGCCTGGCTTAATAACCTCATGTTTTTTACAGATTTTACACGACACTTCAATGTGCTCAACAAAAGACTACAAAGTGTAGGGAAAACAGCAGAAAGGATGTTTTATGATATCAAAACATTTGAGAGAAAACTGCAGGTTTTTGAAAGAGACCTTGAAAGTGGGCAGCTGAAATATTTTCCAAATCTAAAAATGCATTTAGAGAAATCTGCATTTGCAGACAGATTTACAAGCTGTCAGGAAATCTACAAGGAATTTTCTAGCATGGTAGCAGCTGCAAAGGAGAATTTTAGTAACAGATTTTCACAGTTCCATAAGATGGAGACAACTTTGTGTTTTCTTACTTCTCCAGATAAAGCCAAATTTGAAGAACTTGATCTTTCCTGCTTGTACTGGTTAGATTATGGAAATCTGGAAATGGAGCTATTGGAATTTCAAGAAAGCTCTATCTGGAAAAATAAATTCTATGACCTGCGTGCAACACTTGAGAAGATAGAGAAGGTGGAGTCTGAAGGGATGACAAAGGGCAGCACACTTGGTAGTTTTGAAAATGAAATCCTTAAAGTGTGGAATTCTCTGCCAAATAATTTTAAGTCCATGAAAGCACTTGGGATTGCTTTTCTTACTTTGTTTGGATCATCTTATGCTTGTGAGCAGCTGTATTCAGCTTTGAATTATATTAAATCTGATACAAGAAACAGATTAACAGATGACCTGAGTGCTGCATATGTTACTCTCAAACTGACGAAGTATGAGCCAAGGTTTGACAAACTATCAGCATGCATACAGCAGCAAAGATCTCATTGACTGTGCAAAAGCACACCAAATGCAAACTCTTACTTTTCAATAAAAAGCCATTTCTAACATTGAAAGCTCTGTTACTGTATTTTTCTTTTAAGACAAAAGATGTTTTATATGTGACTTTTTTCTAACCTAAAATCTCAATATTTAGTTGTTGGCGCTTTGCCGTAAAGAAGTTAGTTTTGGGTTGCAGTTTGGACACTCATTCTCTAAAAGGTTCGCCGTCACTGCTTTAATATATGAAGGCCTTAAGAAAACTGAAAATGCTGCAGAAGTGCCTCTGTTTAGTACAAGTAGTG